CGGCAGGTGTATGCGTCCCTATGGACCCTGTAACATTTACACCTTTTTTAAAAGGAACAGGGGAGAGGAAATTAGCGTCTGTGCTACGGCAAGACATCAGGGGCCAAAATGAGTTATGTCAGCGCATCAGTGGGGGCAGGAGAAAACAGGCAGGGGAAAATGAGCACATTAGAGCAGTGTAATTAGACAAATGAAAGAACGATGTATCACGAAACACAGACCTGATTGAAGTAATAAATCATGCCAGTGTGCTCATACGGAGTACATCTCGGAGTATAAACTGTCTGTAAAACCTCTGTGTCTTGTGTGCTTAACCTATGAAACACTGTCAAAACCTCATACCCTGACAATCATGGATGGTTTTTCCACTGTATGTATTAACTGGACCACAAGGGTCAAAAAAGATTATTCACGGCTAATGTAGCTTGCTCAGACACAGAAGATAGAAGCAAAAACCCCTGGAATGAGGTTCACATTGAATGGCAGTTTCTCAACCCTACCTCCCAACATTCAGCTCATTGTAGCTGGTGTGGAATAAAAACACGTGTTCACATTTTCACACAACCTTACTGCCGCAAATCTATAATTGGATGCATGGCTGTTCATGTTTGAGAGCAACACTGAGTGTATGTGTTTGTGTGGGTGTGTGTGTGTGTGTGTGCGTGCGTGCGTGCGTGCACAAGCGGTGTTTGCTCAGGGAAGAAGAGATTCTTGATGAATGGCAGGAGAGTGAGAGTAAAAGAGAGCACACGAGAGAAAAAGATGTATAGGTATGATAAGTAAAGCTGACATCAGGACCCCAATTAGAGGCCAGTGTGCCTCGCTGCTAATGGTGGAGTGAGCCGGAGTGAGAAAGCAGTGAAGAGAGTAAGAGCGGGAGAGTAATTAAGGCGCTGCGTGTAGAACCTTGATTTAAGTTCTCATGAATGCGACTGTGTGTGTGTGTTTGTGTTAGCAACACGTACGACACGCAAATGATGCAGTGTGGGTGCTGTATTAACTGTAAAACAGATTCATCATTCAACATAAGCCTGTTGGATTGGATAAAACAAAACATGGTGATGGCCATTTTTCACTTTTTCCTGACATTTTATAGGTAGAACAATTATTTAATTAAAAAAATATTAATCAATAATAATAAAAAAAATAATTAGTTGCAGCCCTAAATGTTCCTATCTACAGCAAATGAGTTGTTGTGCATGCACAATCCATGTCCAGATGCTAGATAGTGCTGGGCATTATTCAAGGAATATGAATCTGAATCTTTTTACAAATGCCTTTTCATTGTTTAACAAAAGCACAAGCAGCCTTGCCTAAATAAAATACAGTTTAAAAAGCTTTAAAGCTGTCTGATCAAAGAACAAGCACAAAAAGAAATACAAATAATATGAAAGGATTCATTCCCAGGGCTTTCAACACATTTTGTTTGGTACCAAAAAAAGAAAGTGGAGGTTTGATACCCAGCCCTAGTGTAGGACAAATAAAAAAAGAATTTGTACTCTTCCGGCTCACTAATTACTGTCCGTGTTGAGATGTTGGAGCCATAAGGCTCTTCCTCAGAAAGGTTCTTTGTAAAACATAGCGCAGCCAGCACTTGGTACTTAAATGTGCAAATGGGAGAAGTGCAATTGAGCAGACTTTTGTTCTATTATTAATTTGCATGAAGCACCAGAGAGGCAGGTCCTGCTATAATATACTATGTATTAAATTGGCTTTCATATTAGTTTCCTGTGTTTTTGCGCTGACAGGAATCCTTCATTCCAAACCTTAAGTAGGCTAAAAAACAACCATAAACAGCATTTAGCAATGCTGGTTCAATTATAATGCTTCATATGCATTATCATTATCCATACCATTATCTTTTAGCTCAGTGCCATTTCCTTCTCCTCCTATCACAGTCATATCTGTCTGTGGCTATCAAAGCCAGTCACTGTGTTTACACAAGCCCAGCTGAACTGCCTTCTGTCTTACTGACAGCCCATTAAACCCCTGCCAATGATGAGCCTGTATCACTTTATGTGCTTGTGTACACTAACACAATGAAGACATGCTACTCATTAGCAAAAGCCAGTGAGAAGGAGAGGAACGGTTTGGCCTGTGTGTCTTTGGAGTGTGTGTGTATGTGTCAAGAAGCAAGACAAAGAGAGAGTGTGACAACATGGAGAAAGAGATGGAGATACAAATTGAGACTGAGTCATACATACACAGATAGAAGGACCGAAAGAAAGACAGGGACTCAATGTGAGACTTCAATGCAACTTGGCTGGCATTCATCTGACCAATTTCCCCTGACAGTTCTGAGTACTTAACCCTACAGAGGAGATAAACTGCGTGTGTGTATACACACACATAGAAATCCTTTTAGTTACTTGGAATTAATAAGCCCCAAAGCAAGCTATGGACAGTCTGACAGAGAAAATAGTCCAATTACTTGTATCACACGGTGCGTTTAGAGCTCTGGAGGTCTGCGAGTCTGAGGGGGATTGGAGGGGAAAATACCAAAATTCAATCATTTCAGTTTTATTCTCCATTCACAGTTGCTTTGTTTCCATTTAGTGTCTCTGTGCGACAGTGATTTTCAATCAGAAATTATAACAAAAGCTGGGTGGTACGCGTTGAATAGCAGCATTGACATGCTGGTGCATTGTTTTCACAGCATCGACAGAGACCAACTAACACTGAAAATGTATGTTAACAGTAACAAATGTCACAAACTTCAGCCAGATACCCATGTGGGTGGATAAAAGGCACACAAGCACAATTGGTGGTACCTTTAAAACAACCAACTTTGACATGGGAGTACACTAAAAGCCTAAAATAACTAGAAACCCTGTTAGCCAACAGAAGCAGCAGACAGAAACAGAAGAGAGTGAATAAGATCCTGGGCTGAGTATGAGACAGACTGAGAAGGAGAATATTCAGACCCGAGACCTTTCTCTACTGTGTTTACCCTTCTTTTCATAGTTCTTCCATCTGCAGTTTCTTTTCTTTCTCTCTGCCTCCTTTCAATTCAAGACAGCTATATCGTTCTGACAGTCAATGCTACTCAGTGTAAACACCTCACTCTCTCTTCCCACTTTACTATCAGCCACGTCCTCAAATGTTATTTCAACTTCCTCTGCTCCTTTTCTCCTTCCATACCATAATTATCACTCCTTCTTGCCTTATTTGCAATTTATTTTTTTCTTCCAACCTCTATTTATATGAATAAATAAATATGTGTGTCAATAAAAGAGCTCTCTGTGAGCTGGAGAAGCCTTTAAGGCAGAAGTCTATTATTTTTTTGTCAACAGCATCAAGCAGATTCATGGCAAAGGTTTGTTTTGTTTTGCCATACTTCAACATATGGACACATAAATCAGAAACCACCATAAAGCTTGTTTTCTCCATCTTCCTCATCTCCATCTGCTCTCATCAGTTACAATACAAATGACAAATTCACAGAGACAACAGGCAAACATAAGGAGAGATCAGCCTCCACTCACCTCTCTGTACCAGCATGGTGACCTCGCTGCCTTTGGGACACTTGCTGAGCAGGTCGACCACCTGGTTGTGAGACATGCTCTGCACGTTTCTCTTGTTCACCTCCACGATGATGTCGCCCTCCTTGAGGCCACGGCAGCGAGGGTAGTCCACGATCTGCTTCACTCTCTGCCCGCCACCTCCGGGACTGTCGGCGATGGTGAAGCCGAAGCCCTTGTCTCCTTTCTCCATGTGTACGGTGATAAGCTCCGGTTGCGTGGCGATGGATGAGGCCAGGGTGACCACGTCGCTCGGGTAGCCGTGCTGGGAAGAGGTATCAGAGACCACCTCTGCCGAGGGGCTGTGGGGTCGGTGGAGGCCGTTGAGGGGTGCCCCACCGTTGGTCGAGCCGTTGTTGTTGTTCTGACTGCCATGGCTGGACGGCGAGTCGTAGCTGTTGGAGGCCTCCTGGCCGTTGACGATGATGGGCTCTTTGTTGTCGAGAATGGCCACTGAGGTAACCAGGCTGGTATTGGGATCATCAGGGTCAAAGGGTAGTGGGTAGCCACGGCACAGCTCCAAGTTGACCATTGAGCCAATTGGGATAGACTGGAAGATCTTGACAACTTGGGCATGGGTGTAGCCTAGCACACATGTGTCGTTGACGCTCACAATCACGTCACCTTATAGGTGGAGATGAGGGAGAATTTCATTTTATTTTGTATGTGAGGGACTTATTTGTCAAAGCTCTTTTATTTGATACAAGTTTTAGCTTCCTTACTTATACACAATGCTTATAGAGAATCAGCATTCAGAAAATCAAAGTTAAGTAAGATTCAAAAGCAGAATTCCTTCTTTGTAAACTTTTTTTACAAATTAAGTACACTAACCTGTCTCCATTTTGCCATCGAGGGCAGCGGGTCCATCTAGGACCAGGCTCTTGATCTGCAGGAACTCGTCCGGCTCGTCTCCACCCACAACAGTGAAACCGAACCCCCGACGGCTCTTCTTCAGCTTGGTATTGATGAAAGTCCCCTTCAGCTCGGATCGGTTCCGAGTAAAGAAAGGCTTACCTCCTGAACACAAAAACGCAGATAATTCACCATTTTGATGCACTGATATAACAGCACTGAATCTGGGATTCAGTATATCTGAAGTTCTATTCTATTACCAGTGAGCTTTTGCTTTTGCACACTTATCAATAAACTAACACACAACTAACCTTTACTCTTCACTGTAACCACATGAAATTAATGTAAAACTCTACTAGCCAAGGTTTGGTGATCACCCATTGAGTGCGTTCTAGTCCGATGACACAACGCAAATCAAAGCAGGCGAATTATAATAAACAGATTAATTAAGTTAAAAGGGAATTGGTAAGTGAGGTTGCATGTGGTAGAAAAAAACACCTAAAATAACTAATTACACTTCGTTTCCAGACCAGAATCCAGAATGTCACCTTCTCTAGGCTTCAGACACTACTACCTTCAAAGGAGTCTTGGTTCTGGGATTGAAGGTTGAACTAGGCATAGCTTCACACCAGTTAGTCCAAACATCACCAAGGACACAAAGCAATATATACTTTTTTCACATTAACCTGGTGCAAATCAAATTATATTATTTCAGCTTCTTGAAATAATACTAATTCTTTGTGTGCAGTGCCCTTTTTCGCATTTTATGGTGGTTTTGTTTTAAAAGATGTAACGCAGAGGCACCAGATTTTTGATTAATAAAATCAAATGCCAGTGACATCCTTCTTTCATGAAGGTCAAAAGCATTGCTATGAGAGAGAGTTCTGCCTCTGTGGATGGCTAATGAAAGTACAACCTTACCTACAAACAAGACATCTTTATCATTCAACATGGATTGTGAGGGCTTAATTAACACAGAAACACATTTCAAAATGGTCTCAAGTCATGAGACCTGCTCAAACACTGCAAACCAAATTACTTTCATCCTTTTTTGTCTTCCTCTCTCTACCTCATTATCTGGCATTAAAGATAAAATGAAGAAAGATATGAGATGGAATCAGTCTTAATAAAAAAAAACTGAGTGAGGTATGCTTCCACCGTCTTCACTGTAGAGAACGGGAGAAACGGGAACAGCTGGATACAGGGACAGGCTGAGATCTAACAGTCTATTAATAGACATAATGTAAGCCAAATAGTACAGAAAATTACTTCACACAATTTACTTGACATAACATGAACAAGGAGATGTTGGTAGAGGTGATGGAAAGAATGGAAAGAATGAAAGCAAAACAAAGAGGAGATGGGGAGAGTGTGCATTAGGGCGAGGGGGACACAGAGGAATGTGTGCTTATTGACCTGCAGTTTTACATTAAGTTATGCTAGCGCTACGACTTCAATTCAATTCAATGAAAAATGCATTACCCTTGGAGTCAGTTGGTGTTCTTGTGTTTGTGGTGTTTTTCAGTGTGTGTGCAATGCCTTAGAATAGCATTTTTCAGAATAGGAGAGATGTAACAAAGCTGTGAACATAGATGGCGGCTTTATCCACAAGGGATCCAGAGATGTAAGAACAGACCAGAAGCAGAAGAAACATGAAAGTAGGTAGATAAAATTTCAAATGATGCTCTTCTCTGGAGGAATGTCAAGGCCTCGGACAGTGAAGAATAGTGAAGTCAGAGAGGGTGGGAGGGGGGACAGACAGAGAGTGAGGTAGAAAGACTGAATGATGGACGGAACCAACAATTGAACCAAAGGAGAGAGTGGCGGGAGACAAGACAAAAGACAGTGAGTCGGCCAATGTGGGCCATAAAATAAAGAGATCGATGAGGGAAAAGGAAAAGACGGCCGACAGAGCAGCAAGGGAGAGTAAGAGGGAAAGACGGGGTGAGGCAGTTAATTCTGCCATGGTTGTGCTAATTAGACAAGCTGCTAGTGGGAGGCTGGTATAAAAGGATCTGGCAACCAGGAGAAGGAAACACACAGTAACGGCTAGACACTGCATCTGTAGGTGTGTGTATCGCTAAATGATGGGTGAAATCAGGCCATTATTTGATGCAGAAAACGGAACAACATAACAGAGGTTCCATGGGAAGCAACATGTGGCCACAGTAAACAAAGAGGGAGCACACGTATAAAATAAAACTGTACTTTCCAGAGTCGTATCCGGATCGTCTTTAAGAAAACACAAACATTGCCTTGAGTGCTGTCTTGGAAAAATCTAGTCTACTGTAAATACTAGATGAGCTGAATATTATTTTACTTATTAAGAATGTATGATGAACCATATACAGATACAAGCTTTATAGTGTCAGTTCATAACTGGCCCTCCATCATGAAAACGCAAACATGCCCTGAGGCGCTGGCTCAGGAAAACAAACTACACTCTAAGAGCTGAATCTGATTTAACTCATAATAAGTCGCTCTGGGTAACACAGCCTAGAAACAGAAAAGTAATAAGTAATCTTCTTTTTTATAAAGTTTCAGACTTTAATTCTATAAAGGCGGGAACTTACGTTTTTGTCCCATTGCATTGGGCACTGTAGGTCCTGTCTGAGGCTCCCTATAAGTCTCCTGGTGGTTGGTAGCATAGCTGGCCAGTGGGGCCCCTGCCAACGCCGAGTCCTCGATCCATTCTGCAACAAGCAAGAGGCACATATTCTCTAGATGGGGTCTAAACAGGTGCATAGCTGCCCTACTTCTGGAAGAACCGGGGCGAAGAGCTATGGGACAACATGGCCTGTGTGTTTGGGAAAAAGCCATTTGGCTTTCTATGAAGCTAGAGGACCTTGTAAAGGAATAAGTCTGAAAATTCTTTGTGAAAAATATACATTTCCTGGTATGCCTGATATTCAGTTACAAACCCTCCCTGCAGAGCAACAAGTGAATGGACGTGGTTCAATTACCAAGATATTGTGTTAAACCTACATTACAGTTGCCCATCTCCATGCTGAGCAACTGTAAGATAACACGTAAACTCGGGGGTTTAACAGGTCGCACAAACTTCATGAAGCTGTTTCACTCTTTCACATCTCCATATTGAATACAAATGGAGGTGTGTGAAAATAAAGCAACCCATTTCTTCAGTATGGCTACAATCTTTGATTAATCACCTTGTTATGGCATCACAGCACCGATCAGACTACAACCTTCATTAATATTCTTAGCAGTGAGATAGAATCGATGCAGAGGTGAAAAAAAAATGGGTAAAAACCTCGCTTGAAGGTATTGAGTTTTTTTTAGGAGAGATTGAGTGTTCAGACCGGGTAAAAGTCTGCAGGTAATCGAGTGGATGCAATGATTTCTGCTGAATGAGCAGAAGGTGGAGCGCGATAGGAGAGTTCCCATGTGGGCCGGCCTGCATTTACAATTAATCTCTCTGCGGGGCGTCCTGTGAATGCATAAGATTTGAGACAGGAAGCAAGACCAAGCTAAGGTTGCCAATCGGTTGAGTTGTGGCAGTAGTGCGAGCTGAATCATCACTGTTATCACTGGTTGCACTTGCTTTATTAAATGACATCAATTAGGAAAGAAAGTCTCTTTAGTAAGCACATCATGTTTAGTTCAAGCCAAACTTACCTGTCTTCACCTTAGAAAAATAAGCTTTTGAATTATTACCACAAACAAGGATCCAAAAGCAACACAGAAAACAGAAATTAACTTCAAAAAGGCTGCGTGATACAGCCGCAAATTATAGTTATGCCTTTATGGAAGGGCACTTAGCAAATCATAAGGCAGTAGCAGGCAACATCAAGTACTGTAGCAATTATTGCTATAAAGACCCAATCTCACACACACACACACACACACACATACATATAGAGACATATGCAGACAACTCAGTCACACACATGAATAGAAAGAAAGGAAATGACGCCCTTGGTGGGGGCTTGTGAACGAACCTCGGATGTAGCGCTCACCTTCAGGTGGCTGCTGGCTTTGGGGCTGAGGCTGCTGAGGCTGCTGCTGTTCCAGCTGCCTGCGCCTCTTAGCCTCCAACACTGGATTTTCATACTGGGTCTTCCTGTTGATATGACTTTGGGACGGTGGAAGGAGGGATGCGTGGATGGACGTTGAGGAATAAGAAATGGAGGACAGGAGGAATGGATAATAGGAATAGAAAAGAAGAATAGAAAACAGGATGTAGGACAAGAAGTAAATATCAGCAGGAAAGTGGAGCGCAGCAGAGAGGGAAAACAGGCACCGAGGAGTGGAAAGGATAACAGAAGAGAGAGATAGGGTCAAGAGAGGGAGGGGAGACATGGCAATAAGCTTATATTAATACACAGTGGTACAAAACACATGCATCCATCTGTACTTACACAGGAACCCCTCTCTGAGACACGTGTGACAAAATCATTCCCTCAAATTATTATCGAATAAATCTCATTCTGATGGCTTAATTCACAGAACCTACAAACATGGTTCATATCACACATCAACCCTGGGAGGTTTCCTACAAGGCTACCAGCACTGAGGAATTACACCTGAGAGCACCACATAATACAGCAAATGAAGGAAACGGTGAATAATGTCTGTGCGAAAAAAAAGAATAATATTGAAGACAAAGAGGGGGAAAAAATAGAAATGCCACAGCCTTGAGCCCCCAGGTGCTGCTTTGAACAACATCAAAAACGCATGAAACATATTCGTATTACTGCTGATGCCCAGGGGCTTCACACAAGATGAGATGCACACATATGCGCGCGCACGCCCTCGCTGCATGTTTTCCCAAATGATAATGACAAAAACAAAATGGCCTACATTTTCCAGTACACAAACGACCAAAATAGCTGGAGCGAAATCTGGCTGTGACGTCTGACAGCAGAACTGTACACACATTAGAGCCTCTCATATTTACAGTAAGGTCAAGAGTTTCTTTTGTTCGAATGAAAATGTGTGAAAGCATTTCTATTTATGTGCAAGAAAAATGCAAGCGGGCCATTTCTTCTTTTTTCTGCATGCCTTTGTGCAGCGTCAGCCTGCGCGTTTGCATACAAGTGTCCTTGTGTGGTGCTGGGTGCCTTTACATACTGTACACGTGCACTTACTCAACATAGTAGACCCCATACACTGGATCGTCTATTTTTTCCCATCCCGGTGGAAGTTCTAAATAAAAATGAGAGAAAAAGACAGAGTGAGACAGAGGAAACGACAAAATCTGTGAAGTTGCTGGGAGCCCCATAGAGCCAAGACCGGTAGAGACCTTTTGCCTCTCATTGTGTCTGCCTGTCAGTCTGTCTTCAGGGCCAGAGTGACTCAACAGCTTCACAGCCCCCCGTCCCACCCCCCGTCCCCGTCCCCTCACACGGCTGACATTTCCACACATCAGATAAGAACAGAGCAAGACCCCCTTGGGCAGAGATGGGTGGATGAATAGAGGGATGGAGAGATGGAGAGATGAAAGGAGGTGGGAAGAAGGAGTGGTGAAGGGGTCAGAGAGAGGGAAGGCAGGGAAGACAGACAGCAGGAGGAAAAAAGCAAGGAGGGAAAGACAGGTAAAGGTGAGAAACTGGGAGAGAGAGGAATAATCCAGCTTTTGAAACCACTGTAGAAAAACAACAATGTGCAGGGAAAGTGAGAAATGATAAGAGGACTTTTTTTTTGCTAAATGAAATATTCCATTTCTTTTCCTCAAACCAATGCGAATCAATCCAACAGATATGCACATTTCTAATCGACTTGTCTGTATTAGTGAGAAAATGGTGCAATCAAGTAGTAGTACAGTCTCTGTCTCTGTCATACGTCATCCTGTTTGTGTGTGAGACCGCACCCTTGACTTAGTGTGAGGGTTGAAAAGCGACTTCATCCAAGGAGGTGTCACTGAAAGCACCTGCTTACGCACGGCGATCAAAGCACACATGTGCAGACACTTTTACAGAGAGTTAAAGTGAAATTCATCCTAATCAACGATGATTAGGAAAGATATGAATATGACCGGGCCCACTTCAGCAGTGTGTAATTTCCCGATGGTGCAGTCGGCTGTGTTTCTACAGTGTTTGCCAGAGAGGAGTGATGTCATTATCTCCAGTGGAGCCATCTGAATCACTTCTGTAGTCTGATTACAGCAGCATTGATTATTGGCTGGCGTCCACATAGATAATGTCAGAGGCTTCTAATTGGCTACAAACACACATTGTCCAATAGTCCTCTGCTGTGATGTATCCATTTTACATATTATTACCCTCAGCCAATTAAGCTTCGCCCTGTGTGTAAGTAGATGGTAATTACAATCATCCAGCATGAAGAGCCTCCCTCTGCTTCCTAATGAGGAGGGCCCTTGGTTGGAGTGGAGTCAGCAGCAGATGCACAAAAAAAATAAAAAATAAAATATAAAAGCCAGATGGGAATGTTTAAATCGTCTGTGCATGACACACAGCAGTACAGCTTACAGTCTGTCAGACCAGGTAGCCACGACTTGTAAGCAAAACTGATTTAGAGCCACCACGCACAAATCTGCAATTGGATTCGTCAATTTGAAGCTTGTAAGCAACTCCAGTTACTGTTATTCCATATTTTCAACACCTGCTAAATGAAAGTAATGCAAAAAGGCTAAAAAGGAACGCAACGTTACAGCTTTGGTGTGGTAGTATAGGGTGAACCCACGAAGCAGGCATGGTGAATCATCATTCAGATGTTTTGAACTGGAACGTTAAATGGAATGTGGTCCCGCCTCGCCTCCTGCAAAATTTTAATCACCCACTTGATTTCACACTGCACTAGTTTCGCTCCTGGAGGAGCACCTGTGTGTGTGTGTGAGTGAGAGAGAGAGAGAGAGAGAGAGAGAGAGAGCACGGATGTTTGCTACTGCAACCATCTCACAATAAGGTATACATTTCAGTGAGTGGAAAACGCAAATGAGAAAGACAAAGAGAAATCTGTCACTTGTTAAGCAGCGTTTTCTCCTCATCCCACCTTCCTGAACATACTGCGAAAAAAAAGTCAAGCGTGATGAATTACATGTTTAACTGTTTGCATCTCATTCTCTTGATACAGTGCTGTGATTGATTTCTCTTGAGTAAGCATGTAGCACAGAGAGCCTCTTTGTGTGTGTGAGAGAGGGAGAATTGTGCGCGTGTGTGTGCCGGCGTTCATGAAAGCCTGCTCCTCCACAAAGGACTGTAGTTAATTACGTTTCTTTGCCCACCTGTATTGGATTGTGCTGGTCGATAAGTATTGAACATGTTCATCCAGTCGAAGGGTGTCTTATGGACATGGGACTTGTCTGATCTGATGATTATAACACAGCAGCTCTTTCAGATGTTTAAAAATGAGAGCTGCTAACAAGAAGCACAGTAGATGTTCCGTTTGCCTTCACAGGGCATCGTCAACTTTGCTGCATGCGATGTCCTGTCTTTGTCCTCTTTTTCCTGTTGTTTGCTGAAAACAGCTGTACGGTGCTGGAAAAAAGCTAGAAAGAGGCTAAACGTAGATATTTCTGTTTGTGACCTCTTTCATGTTACATTTAGTCTTTTGACTCAGTGTTAATATAAAAATATTGATTAAATATACTTCTGATACTTAAACAGGGTTCCTGAATTAGTCCCTGACCCTGGGGCTAATGAAAACCTTTCAAATCTAATTTTACAAAACTGAAACTGATTACAACTCAAGCTAAAAGAAGCTGCTTTTCTGTGAGGTTTCTTTCTTTCACTTGACAACAGATTTGACATTTGACCATGTGTGTCATTCCAAATTCTACAAAAAGAACGAGAGAATAATATGAAAATGTGTGTATTTCCCAAAGGTTTGCCCCTGTATCTGTGTTAATCATAAAGGGCTGGTACAATCATTAATCAGAAATCACCTTGTGATGGAATGACATCATTCATTACCCTTGCATAACATTGCAGGGCACAGTCTCCAGACACCATTTACCGTGCACAAGTGGCCGCGCTGCTGTGTCTGATAGGCTAGTTAGTGTGTTGATGGGCTTCAGGAAAAAAGGCCTGTTACCGTCTGGCTCAGACAGACACCCATTAGGAAATCATCATTATAACAATCTTCCTTGGATCAGACCCCGTCTCTTATGTATGAAATGACGATCTGCCGACGTGCGAGTGTTTTGTTCTTGTGTGTGTGTGTCTGGTTGGCTGGTGGTATGTGGGTTGACAGTCATGTTCAACGCCAGCTTTCTGATCACATATGGTGTTTTTTGTTAAAAAATCTTAGCTACCTACTGATGGAAGGCTAGGTAAAGGTCAGATCTCTGTCAGCGTTGCATAATGTCTCATTTCTAGATGATCAGAGTCATTGTCATAGTCATCTCTCACCAACTGTCAAATGACTCCGTATGAGCCACCGATGGTAGTGTTGTGCATGTGATTATGTAGATGTCAACCATTAACTCTTGTGACTCTATTATCTTCACCTTCCCATTTTCAAACGTTTTGCATTCAGCTGAGACTTTTTAAATTGAAACAATGAATCAGATGTGCCACCATTTGTGTGGCAGCAGTGTGGTGTACAAAATGAGAGGATCTCCTACCTAGGTCATTGTCCAACTCCTCTGTATGTACCCCTTCTACTCAGCGGCATGGGCGGCACGGCAGCACAGGATCGTAGACAAAGGGAAAGAGAAGAGGGGCAGAGAGGGGACAAGGTGCTGTCAGTTGTGAGTTGTGAGTCAGTTGACTACATCTGGCCACTGAGTGGAAGAAGTTTATCACAGCCAGAGCCTCAGGCTCATGTGACAATCCATGTTGACAAAAATCACAAGGCATGTTTGCCCCAATTGACTGAATCCCTATGTGTGGTTTGAGGCAGCAGAGTTGAAGCAGAATTTTATCATGTCAGCTAGTAAAAACGTGACAGCCGTTATCACATTTCACGTTTTGAGCAGTAATGCACCTTACCGAAGGGATATAAATGACGACATGTCCCAATGAGAAATATTAGATGTATTTCTCTGTGCGTTTGTATGCACCAATTCTTGGTTGAAATTCTGCGGTAATCTATGAGCAGGCAGAATGCCTCAGTGTAGGTCAGGGAGGGCGTTGCATGTTTGAGTTAGATGATGCGAATGATGCACTGAATTCCTTGAAGCTGTGGGGCATTTTGCTCTGACAAACAGCTGAAAGTATAGCAGAACAGTGCCACCCAATGACTGCTCATCATTTTCTGTGACCCAACAGTGACACCTAAGGGCTGCTGTGGGAGCCACTACTTTTGTTCAAACATCCTGGATTTTCATATTAACACAACATAATGAAATAAGAAGTGAAAGAAGGTTTTTGGTCAAATCTAATCCAAGTCTAATTAAATACATGGCTAGGTGACTGGACACAAACGTGAACAGGATCTGACTCTAGTTATCTTTCATTTACTCATTAACATCTGAAGGTCCTTAGTATTTCCACACTAGGCCAAAATAAAGGCATGCCTGACAACACATCAAATCAGCTGCATCATGTGCTCAGTGTTGAGTAAAAACAGATAAACACGCATGATGTCATAGCATGGACGTACCATCATCTTCACATTCTTCCAGGGGTTTCTGAGGCTTGTCCAGGCACCGAGGATCTATCCAGGAGGTGGTCTTTGTATTGTGGCTAAACAGGAAATACACACAAATACAGTTACCTTGAGGTGAAAGCAATAATCCTTATCTCCTCACATCTGGTATGTAGCAAGAAGGGTTTCTAAGCTGTTGACAGGATTTAAAGATTATAATGCTCATTTCTATATAAAGATTTGTTGGTTTATCACAAACTGAGGGGCTATCCATTCAAAAACACAAAAGTCTGAGGTTAAACTGATCTGTTTATGATATACAAGTCAACAGGACTGAAAATCAGTGCCTTCATAAAAAATGTGTTCACAAAGAACTCTAGTACAGTATGATTTGTTAGACGAAAAGCTCTTCCACTACAGATTTTAAAAACTTTAATTATTATAATTAAAGCACTGAACCTGGACTTGCCTTTAAGAGTCTTCATAAACAAACAACAGAATCTCACAAGGTCATGATACTTGTTACAGACTCCACTCATTATGCTCAGTATTTTGAAAATATTAGATATAGACAGATATCTAGATCTAATGAGTAACAATAACAGTGAGCAAAATGCCACCATCATAAAACATGACCAGGTCAATTTGTCCCCAACTTTCTATCAAGCTGACTTAATTTTCCCATACTTTTATTAATAGTTTACTTATATGCCTCAAAGTATAGTAGCTGCATGTGAGTCACATGCTGAGAAATTAACTGTGATCTGGGTTTATGTTCCATTAAATAGTGATATAGCACATTAAGTAGAAAAATGGATCTGCAGCTACGGGCTAAAAAGGTTATCCTTTCAAAACCTGCAAAATGTGGCTTTGTTTCTAAACTTTATGTCTGAATGAACTTTGCAGTTAAACATAAAACTGCAGTGGAGAGATGTATATGTACATAATGCATGTAAATATCACCTCTTTGGAACCTTCAGGACATTTAAGTGGAGTTTACACAATGACTTCCAGCTAAAGCAGCGCCCACAAAGTGAACACTGACTTACTGCATTACGAGGGAACCCATCTAGAGTTACTTACTCTATAAAGTAGACCTCTCCGTTCTCGGTGTAGGCCATCTCCCAGTTGTCAGGCAGAGGTCCCAGTGGGTCCTCCGGGGGAGGATGGCTCAGGTGAGAGTGTGTCTGCTGTGTGCTCTCCGTGGTGGCCGATGGTGAGGGGGTTGTCCCAATGTAGGGCGGGTCACTTCGGCGGGGGACGAAGGGTGGCACCGAGTGATGAATCTCGTCTAATTCACTAGAGTCTCCTAGGGGGTTTCATGCAAACATGGCTTGGTGTTAAGAACATTTGGGTTGGAGCATGCAGAAAACACTTTCGAGAAGAAAAGGGTAGCTGTGAAAACAATGTTGGAACCAAAAAATTATTTTTTGTTGAAACAACTCCTCCCACTGATTAAATTCCTCCCGGCCTGAGATGCATCACTAGACACAGCCTCATCCTGCCACTAGCTCCTGCCTCAGTCCAAGAGCTTTCCTACGCTCACACATTTAGTTTTTGAAGCTACAGCTGTAGAGTATATCCATTTATCCCAAACTACTTCTTCTCATAAAGACATTCACCTCAGTTAAGACTGCTGAGTGGGCAGTTCACACCTAGAACCATGGCCTCTGAAGTGCTATCACCTAGCTTCCTGTTATCTAATTTTCACACTCACACTTGACTGGCACCCTCACAGCTCACGCAATCACAGACGGCAAATAAACAACTTTTGGTCCCACCTTCTAAAACCACATGGCAGAAACAGCTTTAGCGCTGAGTCAACTTCTTTACAATGCCTAGTGACCTACTAACACACAAGAGGAGATATAAAAAAAATTTGTACAGTGAGTAATATTATTCAAAATCATCACTGACAGACCTATTAAAAATAGCAGTGATGTTAGTATCATGCTTCCAAGCATTTCAAATTAATCAAATAAAATCTTCCTCTAATTCATTCAAACACAAATGACCTACCAAGTACTAATGGTATCATTAAGAATCATTTCAAAAATGGAGGTTGTTCAGTCATCCACCCTCCGCTTCTTGCAGCCAGATGGCACTATTTTACATTTTTGGACGCATAGATACAGGCAGTTGTAGTCAAACCCAGAGACCACTTTACTCACCAATCAAAGAAGCTCTTGTGTTCTGCAGCCGCTCACCACACCAAAGTGCTCTCTCTGCCGCTCTCTCTCCACCTCTTTTGTGCTCTTTCTCCTACTTCTTCATTTTCTGAGCTTATCCTCCTTCACAAAATACAATCCTGCCTTGATTCTCTTCCTCCCGCTGTCCAGTTCTTTTCAGACTTGCCCACTTCACCCCATCCCAGCCACTCCCTCTTTCTATTTAACGTCCGGCTACCTTGTCTCCGCTTACGTCCCCTCCCACTTTATCCATCACAAGATTCTCTTCCAAACAGAGCTGTAGAAAGTAGGAATGCATTCAAGTGTCTCCAAACTAAACGGAGCACAACCTGTTCTCAGGCTGCTGCTGCAGACGGCTCTGCGAGCCACTGCCTGTGTGCTCACTAACTTAGGTTTGTTTGTTTTAAAGGTGTCCACACCAGCTACAGGAGTACATGAGTGATTATGTAAGATCTGCAAATGAAGGAGTTGACATACTACTACGGCTACGAGCAAATGACAATGAACCAACAATAAGTGGTGTACAGTTGGTCACATGACATCTGTTGCAGGCAAGATGCTACATGCTGAGAAGGTGGAAAAACTTGAAAAAAATAATGTTGTCAAGTGAAACTAGCTAGCCTGTACACACTGTTTATCAATGCCAAATGTGCCATTTCATTTTGGCTGTTGCCTGTGTGAAGATGCCAAATGTAATCTAGTTAGGAGTATAGTACCAGCCTTGGGGCCTGTTCCGGCCTGATATTTCGTATTCAAATAAATGAAAATTGTGTCTAAATCCATTGGAGACACACCGCTGTTTACACCTGGCCTCAGAATGTGTTTCAAATGTGTCTGGAGTGACCACTTGTTATTGAATTTCCCTTCCCTGCTCACATTGTGAATCTGTGCTCAACCACACAGCTAGAAGAAAGGATTGTGCAGTTTGTTTAGCAGCCCAGTTTCAGTACAGACTTTCAACTCTTATCCAAGGTGATGGCATAGGAAAATCAACTGTATTTGGGAGGATTAGCATTCACACGGCATTACACTATTGCATGGACTATGAGTGATCATTGTATCTTTAAAGGGTTCACATTAGTGGTTTTCATTATTAACTAATCTATCAAACATTTTTCAGATTGCCAGTTGTTTAAAGATAAAATAACATTTCTGGATTAAAATATATCTATAAACACTAGACTTATGTTATATATTTTGTTGAGCTTTGTACTTAAATGATCCCAAATCCCAAACAAACATTTCCCACGATGCGACAGGATAGTGTCTATCATTAGACACTCCCTGACTGACTACATGTCTTTCAAACTTCATAACTGCAGTTTGTAATAGAAGCTTTCTGTTCTAAATTTGCAGTCACCACACCCATGATGATGATGACATTCTCAGGGTTTTTTTCTCAGACTTGATAAAGCTCCTTCGAGAGTCACAGATGTTAAACAAATAATTTCACGGGCCGAGTAGTACTCCTCAAAAATGAACATAGTGCGTAAAGTGGCGGTGCCTCCTTAATATACAAAGTTAAAAAAGGAGACAACCAAGCAAATGTTCTCATCATCTCATTGTAATCGTCAAATTACAAAAAATGTCACTTATGAAATTACATAAACAATGAATCAGTTATTCACCTGCGACTAAATATCCTATTTTAGTGCGAGTATTTAACATAGTCTCACTGGTCTTTTTAAAAATTGTCAAGCAAACTCAAGCATTAGCTAAAATCTGTGAAGACCTCCATCTATTCCACTGTCCTCTCATTATCCATCCCACATGCTATGACTTCTTCTCTTCCTCCTCCCCACTCTTGCTCGACCTTCTGTCCCCCTGTACGTACCTGTAAAGCTACTGTTCATATCAGGGAGGTCCTCGTCGTCCTCCTGATGCTGCTCTCCAGGCCCTATTCCAGCATTGTGCATGTCATTGTAGGACTTGGTGCGTCGGGGAGTGGAGTGCTGCGAGCCTGGCAGGCTACCGCTGAGCCCGTCTGGCAGTGGGGCATCACCGCCGCTACCGCTACTGCTAATCACTTTCCCACCGGGGGGCTGCACTGGTGGCTTCGGTGTCCCATAATAGTTACCTAGGCAACGAAGAACGAAAGGTCAAGGGAGGGGTAGGATTAAAAAAAACCACGAGAATTAGAGAAGGGCATTTCAGTAAGAGCGGCAGGGTTGGGAACAAGCAGGGGTCCAAAGGGGTTTCGTGTGTGTGTGGTGTGTGTGTGTGTGTGTGTGTGAGTGTGAGTGTGTTGGAGGGGGTTTAGTTTTAGCCTTTGTATGCAAATAAAGAAGCTGGCTTTGTCTGTGGGAAAATGTAAATCTCTGAAGCAAAACTAAATTTCTTTCTTGTTTGACCCACATAAAGTTCAAAACCAAGACAACTTTGTTTTAACTCACCACAAATTAATCAGTTCTCAACAAATATTACATCATAAAATCGTCTGAAGACATTTAGTGAAGCTGTTTGCAGCCAAATTGTTCTCCAGTGCCAATACCACATTTTAGCTAAACTGACAGTTTCGAGAACAAAACATGCAACATAATTTTTTTTTCCACAAACCAAGTGTTTTTCATCTAAAGCTAGACCAGAAAGATCTAAGGAGACTGTACCATCTGAAGACCAGAATATAAAGCCAACTTCTTAATGAGATAGAATGGCATTAGCATCCAAAATATAAAGGCTATGGATAAAAGAATGTTTTAGTCCAGGTGGCAGAATTACAGTCTAAAGATAAATTGGCAAACTACAACTTAAATGGCAGAAA